TGAGCACTTGACACAAACTGTATGATAGCAAGAATGCTGGAGGGCCCCTTGCAGTGTTTGGCTGCATTCACTTCATGCATTATCCATGCGGTGGATCTAATGTATAAATCAACAGCGGGTGCTAATCTGCAATTGTCAGGAAGCAGAAGCTGAGGTTGCTCAGGTTTGATAGTTTCCACGTATAGTGGCGAAAAAAAAATTGTTTACACACCCCGTTCAAATGCCGGGTAAAAACGAAAATTTGATTCACTCCCTTCAAGAGAGGAAGCAAAACCAAATTGCCATGTGGTTGCACAAGTGCGCACACCCCGTCGTAACTGGGATGCGGTTGTGTTTCGGATTCAAGTCAGCGCACACTTGCCACCATTTAAAACGGCTCAGATTAAGACCAAGTGAAGTTCAGCTCTTCTAATGGGCTTTGTGGTAACACCGACTACTATTTGGATCTGTTCATGATTGCATAGGTGGAGTGAATTATGAGCAGTTCATAATAGCAGTCAAAACAAACGTCTGTAATTTATTTGGGGTTTATATGGTGTCAGGTGTGCCACATCCCCAGTGTTAGGAGGGTGTGCACACTTGTGCAACCAGATTATAATTATGATAATTTATTTTTATTTTATTTACAATTGAGTTGCATAGATTATAGGTGATCTTGATGGGTCGAAAAAAAAGCATTGAAGTGATTTATCTTGGTCTCACCTTTTTATATCACAAAAGCCTGGCATTTGCGCAGGGGTGTGTAGACTTTTTAAACCTATGTGGGCTTTCGTTTGCATGTACATGAGTGGGTGATCTGAAAAAAAAACAAACAAAACAAAACTATAAAGTCCGACCCTGGCCCTGTGATCCTGCACCATTTTCGCTGCCCTGACACGGAGGGCAGGAAGGCAAAGGAAGACTGCCAAGCAGTCAGATCAAGCGCCAAGTCCCGTTTGCTCCTTCCGCCACTCACATCTGCTCAGCGAGGCAAACACCCCCCACCCCTCCCACTTCTCCACAAAGTCACCTGGACGCCCACATCGTAAGACAAAGCTTGCGTTTCTTTGTTTTTTTTGGACTAGTATTTAAAACCTCAGGAACTGTGTTGTATCTGTGTATTTTGGAGCATGGGAGGTGAGTAATTGTGCGCAAATGCTCCCAGTGGCCCCAGGTGCTCCTTCAGCCGGGCTTGATGGGATGATAAAGGGGCGATAGCGAGACTGCCGTCAAGTACGCAGCTTCCCGCATGAATCTACGGCGTGTCTCTGGAACATACATGATGGATGCAGCGGCGTGTCGAGTGGCCAGGCACGTAAAAAGGCGAAAGGCGGAGGAATGGGCAGAGCGAGAAAGCGGGAAAATGAGAAACGAAGCAGAGATGTCTTCAGATTGTGCTGGAGGGCCGCTGGCACGCGTCAGGGCTTCTGATGTCACCGTCGGGGTGGGGGCAAACCCGACGAGGGCACTTTCCACACACAGATCCATTCAAATTGGACCCATTCAAGTGGATAATAGCTTGATTTTATGCTTGCAAAAAACATCCTGGCGTGGCAAAAATTGTAAAAAGAAAAACAACTTGAACTGTCCCGCCAGTTTTAACTCAACATCGAGAATGTCGGACTCTAAAGGTCACGTCCGTATCGTGGTGATTCCCAAAGTTCTTACAGTCAGGTCCATCAATTTTCAGCAAGCTTAACCGGATTCAGGTCAGGTGAACGACTTGGCCATTGCCTAACGTTCCACTGCCTCGGGATGAGCTCAAACGGAGAGCGGCTGCGCGGCGCTCGGCCGGTTGCCACGTCCGCCTGTCAGTTTTGAGGTTGGGCGTTCTGATCTCGGCTCCCACCGCTTCACGGTGCTCATGCTGGGTGTTTACATTAGATTGAAGCCTTTCGAGAATATGCCCCAAATACAGTAAGCCCCTCCCCCAACCCCCCGCGGGGAGGAACGGCGTCGTCCCGCGGTTATCCCGGGAGCGCTGTCATCTCAGCGTAATGATGATCAATCCCGGCTATTAGAGGCTCGCAGTTCCCCACCGACAACGCTTTTGACAGTGAAACACGCATCCGCCTAATCGGGCCCATAACTCCCATCGGGTCCATAACTCCCGTTTTTGCCGGGCACTTGCAGCAAAAAAAAAAAAAAAGTGGGCCGCGATGAGGAGGGACGATGGGAGGCGGAAATGAAGGAGCCCTGATGAGCGAGGCAGGCAGGTAACCAGAGTGGTAAAGTCGCAAACAGGCCATTGAGTGGACGAACGCCTGCGGGGATCGCTGATTGGCGAGTGGCGAGGAGAATGTCAAAACTGAACAGGGACGACTTTTGACAGCACCCGCGTGTGTGTAGGCGTGGATATGTGCATGCGTGATGCCCTATGGTGGCCTTGAGGTGCAAAACGCGGTGGCCTTGAGGTGCACAACGCGACAACAAATAACTAAATACGACAACAAAAATAAACAAACCAACAAAAACAAAAACTAAACACAACAGCAGTTTTTTATCGTCTTGAAATTTTCCAATTGCTGTTGTGATTTTGTTTTTGTCCACGCATTTACTGTTATGATTAGTTTTTGTTTTTGTTTTTTCGATTTGCGGTGGTGATCAGTCATTATTTTCATTTGCTGTAGTGATGACTTAATTTTTATTTTTTCTTGTTTTTTTTCTCTAT